TGCAAGTGCTCTGTTGAACAGTGATGAACTAGGGCAGAAGCTTTCCAGCTTTGCTTGCAGAACAGTTGGGGAGTGTCTGCTGTAACACACTTTTATACTACCTTTCTGTTTAAAATGCTGTAATATTAACTTAAGTCTAAAACCCAAGATTGTGCTGCTTACATATGAATACATGCATCACCCTGACTAAAATGCTACGTCTTGCTGTACTGGATTAGATTTCCAAGGTAGTTGGTGATTTATCTATCCTGTACATAAGCATTATCATTTTTAGTTGGATGCAAACCTTGATGGGATATAACAGAATTCATGTCTGTATTCCATGCAGCCGGATCCAGGCAGAATTAGGGTCTGGTGTTATATCTCATCCTGCTATGGGTAGAAACCTACTGAAATTGCATTTTGTGGAAATTGTGAAATCCAGCATTGCCCCTAAAATCTGGCAATGCCTGCGAAATCCACAGGAGGGGAAAAAAGAAAAACTTATTGAAAATTAAATACTGGCTTCCTAGAAGGAGCCAGTATTCCTCATGGCTCTGGTCTGGCTGTACAGCCTGCCAGCAGGAGACAGAAAGGGGTAGCCCCGCAATCTCCCCATGAAAACAGCCAGCTACCTCCTCAAGCTCGGTAGACCCCTGACTATAGTGATTAAGTTCAAGAACATGTTTACACACAAGACATTGAAGACTGATTAAGACCACATAAATGTGTGTAAGTGTTATGATGATGACACATGCCACTTGAGCTTTATCTTCAAACTGCACATCTGATAACCTCGTAATAACCTTCATGAGTCATTTACATCACAGATAGCTGAGCTGGAATGTATAACATACGCCCCTTCTGAGTTAGAAGCGACACTAACTCATATTTGCATCTTAAGACAGTAAAAATGCAGAAAAAAGAATGGTAGCTTTTGTAAAGTTTGGTTGGTTTTGTTTTTTATTTTATTTTTTTTCAAATGCATGTGGTTTGAAAGAATTTATGCTACCCCAGTAAAACAGTCTCCCTGGTGGCTTCTTTGCAATGGAAATTGTTTATAACGCTTTTATTGAGGAACAACTGTTTTATTCCATTTTTATACAACCCACCACTGATTAATAATTTGTGCTTTTAATTGTTCCCTCCAGGTTGGCACCAATGCGGCTATACACACTGTCCAAGCGGCACTTTGTCCTAGTCTTTGTTGTATTCTTTATTTGCTTTGGTTTGACAATCTTCATTGGAATTGCAGGTAAGGTTGTCATTTAAAAATGTTTTTTATTAATTTTTTATAAGTTAAAAAAATTTACTCTCATAGATGTGCTTTAAGTGTTAATGAGGCTAGCATTTCATATCTCTGAGTGAGGGGGAGTACATTGTTGCAAATCTGTATCTGCTATTTGCAGCTTTTTCCTTTCATGTGTATTGATTAGGTTTACTTAACCTTAATTCCTACCAGGGTAGATGCAATTAAGTAACAAGCATGTTTAAGATTAGCTAGCCAGAAAATTGTTTAAGCCTTGCCCTTCCAATTAAATACGATGAATAAAATACTAACATGTTTTGGGAGTAAAGAGGCAACAATGATCTGTTGATTAAAGCACAGCATTGGGAAGTGGAAAATTTGGTTCCGTTCATGAATAAGCTCTTCCTCAGTATTCCCGTGAAAGACATTTTGGGGCAAAGTGCCAAATAAATCACAACATCTATTTGTAAGATGTTGGTGTGCCAAGAGGGGATGGCACGGGAACTGTGAGGGGACTGATCCTTCTTGTAGCAATACAGCCCTGGCCCCTTCCCCACCGTCCACCCTGGTGTAATGTACCAGGTTGGACAGTGAGACAGGCCTGACCCCTGGGCAGGTCCCTGCCACCCACCACAATGCCTGGGCAGCTCACATCAGGCAGTGGAGAGGCTTCAAGCAGTTGTACTAGGGTCCACGGAGCCCCAGCCTGGCTCGTTGCTGGCAGCAGGTGCACATGCACTTTGGGGTAGACATCAGGGAAGGGGTCGGGGCTGCGCTGCCACAAGAAGGATTGGGCCCCTTGCACCTCCCACACCATCCATGCTGAGGGCTGGCGTGCCAAGTAAAATGTCTTCACATGCCATGCTCTGCTACATGTGCTGGGGGTTGCCTGCTTCTTCAGGGCTAACAATAGTAAATACTTTGCAGTAGTGATTGAACATGCATTGATAAATCTGTCCAGAATGTGCCATTTTTACACATTGTTTTTAGCACAAAATCTTATCTTTATTTTGCCTTAGTCTTTCCATTTGTAAAATGGTGATACAGTTAGATCAGTCCCTCACTCTCTCTTCAAATTCTGCCTCTTCCTGTCCCTCCTTCCCCTTAGAAATGACCCTGGCTTATGTAGGCTCCCACTGGCAGAAGTCTGAAATAGTTGGTCGTTAATTGGACCCAACAGCTTGGGTATTCCAGCTCCCATGGGATGGTTCATTGTCACTAAAACCTAAAGCAATAAAAATCGGCCATAAAACAGAACTGACTTGTCCATTTTAAACTGATCCTGAGATTTTAGGATGCAAACAAATTGATTTCACAGTTGTGCACACACTATTGATGCTGGTGTGAACTGCCCAGGGGAATCTGAAGAAAGTGCTTGACTCTTAAAATGTTTCATGTACATGTATTTTTAGTTAATCATTCATTAAGATGTAATTTTAAGCAAGACTAATGGTTTCATTGGAGCAGTTTCTCACTTGGTTAAATAACTGAGCCAGTTTCTGTTATTGGCACTGCATGCACTTCTGGCATGTGACAGAAAATTCTGCTCATAATTGGGCAAGAACAATGCTCTCATAACAGTGAAAATGGAGCTCTTCACTTCTAATGAAGTGTCCACTCTTTTTACAGAGTGGTTACTGACATGTTGCATTGTAACTACTTATATGTAGATCTTGTGATATGGACTCCCTATCTCGTTTAACTCTGCTGTTGTAAGCAATGCATAGTTTTGTGCTTTGTTGGAATTACCGAACTGACCTTTGCTTTTTGGTCAGGATCAGCTGTCCTTTGTGACTCTTATCCTCTTGAGATAACTTTTTTTAAAAGCTGTGAATCTACGTAATAATGACTTGGGTTCATTCTCCGTCTACAAACTTATCTGCTAAAGCAATTGATTATGCAAGGAGCAAGATTTGACCTGACTTATTTAGAAAGGTCTGTTGTAAAGTCTTTCTGATTCTTAAAAGTACTTTTTTTTTGCATTTTTGATTTTGAAAAATGAGCAAAACTAAACCTAGCTGCTCATTCCTGAGTAACCCCACAACAACACCCGCTGTTTAGGAAATAGGCAATTTTTTTTCCTTTTTGCAAACAAATGCGTTACAATTTTTTCATATGCTTTAAATGGACATCTGGGAGAGAGAACTGAATGTGCTAAAGTCCAGCAGCTCCCCCTCTGTACCCTTCCCCCTACCCCGCACACAAAAGTGAGCCTGGAGAATCCTCCTTACAGTAAGTCTTCCCCCATAGTTCTCTGCTTGGGTGTATGTATGAGTATACATGTAGAAGGAGTAAAGGATACTTGGGGAACTTCCAACCGTGAGGTTTCTTATCAGTTTGTTTAATATTCCACTCTCTGCTCCCCTGTTTGGGTAAAGGGTTATGTGAAGTACACAAGTGTTTGCTAATCAAAAAAATGGCATTGGGAAAACTTACATAACTCCCTACGCAGACTCAAAGAAGAGAGAACTGGGTATGTCTGCCCTCTTATTTGTACACCCTAATCCATGCATTGAGCATCTCTACCTGCAGTACTGGGATCTAAGATGGTTGCTGCTTTCCTATTTGCATGCTTACTTTTGTCAAGGTGCACTCTTTCTCTTCCCATTTTCCATAGCATGTTCTTTGCTTTCCAGAGATAGTGTTGAGTGCAAGGGAGATGCAGGTTGGTCTATGCATGTTGCTGAGCTTGCTTTCTGTGTTTGTCCATGTGTGCTGGAGTACAGTTGCTCTGCTTTACCCACCCAAGTACACTTTGCCTGTGTAAGGTACATTTCCACTCTGAGGCTAAGGGTATAGTGTTAAAGTACTTTGTCAGTAAAGTAGTTTATTCACCATTATTTTTGAATTACATGGTCAATACTTCATCAGTCTGTTGTTTAAAAAACTGTTCAAATGTCATGCGTTGACTATAGAATAGACCTTAACTACAGAACAGTCTTGCTACTGCTTTGTCATTGATCTAAAAACTTGGGTGTATGACAGAAGAAAATGTTTACCTTGCTTCATAAGAGAAAGCTCCTCATTACTTTTGTAGTACTTCGGAGTTCTCCAGTATGCTGACCAATTGAGTCTAACAGGGTCCCAGATAATTAACTTTCTTACACTTCACAAAATTGAGTACACTTTCCAGTGCAATTCCCTGATATCTTTGTCTACTTATTTGCTAATTTGAAGAAGTCTAATAATCCAGAATAGGTATTATAATTATTCGTGCATGCAAATGAGGCTGTACTGCAACTTGAATCTCATATATATTTGAACTTGATGGGTTTTGCCTTTATAACATTTTAAATAGAACATTTTTTTATTTTACATAATCTTATAAAATGTAAGGGGTCTTCAGAAGGCTGGGCAGTACTACAGGCCTGTGTCGTCATTGTTCAGTATTACTGTGGTCTTTCTCATGAGTGAGCTGTCTCTATTAATTTATATCTTTAGATGTATATATGAAATATAGGTGACATGTGTAACATCAGTTTCATACGTCATCTTTAGAACGCTCGCTCTCTGTTCTGAATTTTTTTGTTTTCCTTCTGCCTTTCTAGACCATAGCTTCTACAAATTAACTTCAGGTTTCCTCTTTTATGTGTATAATTGGTTTTATTATGTAATTCTGTTATACTTTGTTTGCTATTTAAATGACTCATATGATGTATGTAAATAAACATAATTTCAAATATAATCCCAGGTATACACACAGATAATTTCATTTGAACAGACCAAGATGAGTAAGTCCAGTGCTCATCCCATAAAATATCATTGGTTTTGTCTGTATTATGCTGCAGTCACTGCTGTGATTAATCCTTACTTAGAGTAAAATAGTGACTTGTTTGACTGTTTATAACATGTTATTGTTAGAGTAAGGATTTAGGCTTGGGGACTCCTGAATGCTATGGCTTAATTGCTGCGTGACTTTGCACAGAATAAGGAGCAGATCCTTACAGGTAATTGGGTACAAAGGAGAGTTCGGCACCTGAATACCTCTAAGGTTCTGCGCTTTAGTGGCTTGTCCTTGAGTTTGTCCATCAAGTGGGATAACATTTGCTTGCTTCACAGGGTGCTTGGTAACTAATATTTATGCCGTATGTGAAATTTTGAAACTAAATTACTTCAGGCTACTATATCATTATTTATGCACTTATTTTATTCCTGCCCTCTCCCTTCTCTTTTTGAATATCATATAGGTCCTAATGTAATCAAGACCACAACAACATCTGAATTGACTAACAGCTCAAAGGTAAGAATTACGTGACATAATTGTGCTGCATGGCAGGCACTGATGTTTTTATTTATTAAAAATCATCTTAACATTTCATGCAGCTGTTTTAAAAAGGAAATTTCTGATGTGATGTTATGCCTTCCATTTTTTTGCAACATAATTCAAACTTTACTAGCTAAGAGTTTGCGCTGATAAATGCTCTGTACTGCCTCTTGAATAACCCAGCATGAATCCTCCACGGCTTAGTTACACCTTTTATAAGGCGGCTTACCTCATTGGCATGTGAATTGGATAGTGTTGCTCTGCACCAGACTTCGACCGAGCAAAGTAAGGTATTGATAGGATTCCCTTGATAGCTCTTGCATCTTTATTCAAGGAAGAATAGCATAATGTGAATCCTTAAGAGTGAGGAAGTAGAAACTGAGAACAGAAAAGAAAATTGGCCTTCTTTTGGGACTAAATCTTCTAATTTCTAACTTTTTTTCCTGGCTCCTGGGAAGGAATTGGGGGTTTTTTGCTCCCCTGGGTGATTGTAAACAAAGTAAACCAGAGGTCTGAAGTCTGTCTTCACATTCCTTGATTTGAGGCACCTTTCCTACATATTCACCTCTTAAGTTTTCCACACCTACTGCCATCAGCTGTTTTACTTCAGATGCTGGGATGACTGACTTGTTAAAATCTTTCTTTATAAAACATAAAATTATATTTTTTAATGGGCTGCAATATTGTTGTTTTTTAAATTGCCATCCATGTATGTATATTTGGATTTTTTGAGAATTAAAAACGTTTTTTCTAAAACTACATATTTATTACACTCAGCTGAGGTAAGTGTAAGAGAAGCAGTATCCTACCACTATACTCTGCTCCTTATTGTAATTATTATCTTTCCACTCTTTTCCATAGTTTTGAAAATGTAGTCTATTCAGAGGAAAGTGATTGCCCTTTTTGCTGCTAAATGGAAGTGGCTTAAAATGTTGTTGCAATTTAATTGCCAAAAATGTCTCTTGATATATAGGGGTAGAAATAAATCACTGTCGATATTTGTTCTGAAAATGCAGCACTATACATTTCCTGTTTAGATTTGGGTTCTTTGCCTGTTTTTATTACTGCTGCCTTTATTTGCTTTAGGCAGTGTTGGCGTGATGTTGCTTTAAGTATTTTATCTTCTATATGACATAAACTGCATGTATTGTTAAAGTGAAATGGCTTAAAGGGAACTGGCATTTAATTTTCTCAAAAAAACCCAACCTTTTCTGTCAGAATGGAAAAATACCCAAAGTCTTTATACACTACATGTACAGACTATTAGTGCAACAGAATTACTGACTAATTACCTCAGTTTTTAAAAAAAATTATTTTCCCAGCTGAAGTCATATCCATTAAATTCACAACCATTATCCACTTATAATCAACAACTATGGCTAACCTGCGTTGTTGAACTGGATCCACCTTATGGTAAGTGTCTTGTCTAGTTTACTTCCGATTACTAATGTGATAAGATAATAATATATGTTGTAGCTGTAATTTCACCTACCTGTAATATGCATTATCCTTTTTAGTTTTGAATTGTAAAACTAGGGGGCAGAGGGGAGCCTGCCTATGAGAGGATAGGTGAATGTACAGAGATTGTCTTGAGTTAGTTAAGGTTTCTTGCAGCCGTTGCTTTCCTAAGCGTTAGAATTTTGTTCTTTGTTTTTCGTAAATCAGTAATAGCCAGGGTGTATGCCTCTTGCTTCCTCTTGATAGAGTTAGACTGGTAGATATTATACTATACTGATGCTAGATTTATTAGTTATTGCTAACTTGTGTTGTCCGAAATAATTCCCACTGAAGGAAGGCAGGATTTTCTTTCTTCTCTACTGTGACAAAATATAACTGAGTTGGCTGCAGGGATTATAGAGCATTGTTGTATCTAGTAACTCTTATTTGAGATTTTTTTCCCCTGAATGTGTACAACAGCCTAACATCTTCATCTTTTAATTATAGAATCTCGCTTCAAAATTAACATTACTCTGTCAATTAAAATACATGGTGTAACAAAGGATGCAAGCACACGATATAAAAATAACCAAGTTCATAATCGGACAAGGCAACTCAACTGTGCTCGGGTAGGTGCTTTTTGAGACAAAACACTGACTGCAGAGCTTGTTCTTCTAAAACTGTGTGTGCATGTATTAAATTATTGTAGATAAGAAGCATGCATGAGGTCATAGGAACAAAACGGAAGTAAGAACTTGTTCCTAGTTATAACTCTTTGCAGGAAGGTGATGTGTTCTAAGATTCAAACAGGGTTTCCTTCAGCAGTATGCCATGACTTCGAGTCCCTTGATGACCAAACCAGAACAGGTATTTTCAGGTTGTCAATAACACGATTAGAGCTGTCATTCATGCTGGGAAACTGGTAAAACTCAGCCGGCCACACCTGTTGAACACAGCTGCTGCTGGCCCACTTTTTCAGTGTTATGATTGGCAGAGTCTAAATGAAAGAACTAGAACACTGTACAATAGTTTCTGCTTTGTCTGAAGCGGTGTTGTTTTTTAAAAATATTTTTTCATTTGAGTTATTAAAGTTCTAGCATAACTTTTCTTTTTGTTTCATTATTTAAAATTTGCATTACTGAGTTTGACTTGAAAAGCCATCAACGCACTGCTTTTCTGTTTTCAAGCGATATCTTGCTGGTGAAAATTTAATTACACAGGGGAGGCTACATATCATAAGTGAAATATTCTGGAGCCCTGACTCTGCTGGCTTTAAGAAAGTCTACAGATATTGACTAGATTTAATCTTCCTAACTAGGTAGCTTAGACTAATACATTTAATTTTTCCTCTTTGTCTTTTTCATTCCTTCATAATGGATACCATTTATTTAAGAGATGCCAAAGTACAAAGGTTTGGGTGAATACAAGACTCACCCTGTCATGATCTCCTGTGATCCCAAGCACGGCTAACGTTAATTCTCCACAAATCTCCCTCTATGCCTTCCAGCTATTTTTTTGGAAGATTTGAATGAAAGATGGTGTGGATAATTTCCTGTCTATTAAAGCTGAATGTGTTGGAAAATGAGCTCCTACTTTCTGCTTGGTGATTCTGTCTTTCAGCTGGGGGCTTCCTGAATGTTTGTGGTATGTCTGAGTCAGTGGGCTACTGCTTCTTAGTGGTTAGGTTAGTGTTCCTATCTAAAAGATTTAAAGAGAATAAAAAGGTGACTGGGTGAAAATTTCCAAAGTGTGACAATATGACATAAAACCCTGGCAATATATCTTATGCTCCTAGTCACTTACGTACTTGCAGGAATTTCGCCCACTGGCTAGGGGAAGAAGTTGCACACAAACAGATTTAAGTGGTGGGGAACTGGTAAAACCTGTGGCAGAACTGAAGTTTAGTGCACTTAAACAGCTTTCAAAATGGCCAAAACTGGTTTAAGATAAACCTGGATGGATGTAATATCAGACTAAACTGATTTAGGTCAAACCAGTTTATGGAACTTCTGTCCCAAATCCCCTCCTGATTTTAAGTTAACTCACAGTCCTCCAGCATCCCAGGATGCTGTGCAGCCTGGGGCTGTGCTCTCTGCTGTAGCAGAGCAGGGCTGGCCATGCCCCGAGCTGTCAGAGGGGGCTTTTCCATCCCCTGCAGCCAGGAGCCAGGCCAGTTTCCCCCAGCCCCACCCCTCCTTGGCTGGGGGGATTGGCTGGGCTCCTGGCTCAGGTGGGGGAAGTAAAGCCCCCACTGTGGGCTTACTGCCCCCCCTCCCCCAGCCGCTGCCAGGCACAGTCCAGAGCCAGGGAGGAACCTTCCCCCACCACTCCCACCTCAGCCAGCCTGGTCACCAGGAGGGGGTGTGGCTGGGGGATGCTCCCAGTTCCCAGCTCTGGTGGAGGGAGTAGAGCCCATGCTGCAGGCT